TGGACACCCTTCACAAATAACTCTAATAAATAGACAACGAAGATTACAATCAAATTCATTAAAGAGAAAATCTGCAATTAGAGATATATCTAATAGAATATGTATTTGCCAAATAAAAAAGAAAAATTAATGAAACACGGAGAAATCAGATAAGGAGAAATGTTTAAGTCTCATTTCGGTGTTTATAACGATAATAGTATGAACAACCAAGTATTTCAATCCGACACTGAACAAAGCAGATGTAGAAATCTATCGCTCATTTGTTAACTGGTACTCTTTTAGATAGATAGAAGTGAAAAGACTAGTGGGAAAACACACTTTCTTTACCTTGATATGGTGTTTTATCACATTCCAGACTTAAAAATCGAAATGGGGTACAAAATATGTACCCCTGGGGTACGAAATTTTCTGGGGAACAAAATGTCGAAATGGGGTATTGTACCCCAAAATGGGTACGGTTGGCAGCCCTGACCTAAATAAAGAAAAATAAATTAGATTTAAGTTTATATAAATCAATTGACTTACCCGACATTTTAATGGATATTCATATACACCTAAATAAACAAAAAGAAATTAGTTTTAAGTTTATATAAATCAGTTGACTTACCAGAATTAGTAATGGACATTCATATAGACCTAAATAAAGAAAAAAGAATAGATTTAAGTTTATATTTATTGAAAGCTATGAACTGCACATATATAATCAAACATGTTGCATGAAAGCTCTAAGTGCTTTCGATTCTCTAAGAATTCCAGAAATGAAGAACAGAACCATGACCCAAACATGAATTTGAAACGCGAACTTTCTGCATTGGAAAAATTGTTGTGCTCTAAAACGCTTCAGAGACTCATTGTGAAAGTTTCCAAGCCTAGAAAGTGTGCAGTAGTTAAGTGAAGTTGGAAAGCTGATTTCTGTTTTTCACTATACCTTTTCGAATTTCAGAAATTTCAGAAACCGTTTAGGTTTCCGAGAAAGCCATTCGAAAACGCTTTTGGTTTCCGAGAAAGTGATTCGGAAACCGAAAGGATATTCTCGAGTACCACTTAGGGTTTTCGAGCTTTCGAAATCTCTTTAGGTTTCCGAGAAAGTAGTTCGGAAACTCTTTTTGTTTTCAAGAAAGTGATTCGGAAACCAAAAAGGTATTCTCGGATACGAGTTAGGGTTTCCGAGCTTTCGGAAACTCTTGAGGTTTCCGAGATAGTGATTCGGAAACCGATAAGGTATTCTCGGATACCTCTTTAGATACCCAAACAACTTTTAGGACAGAAGTGGTTTCCTAAAATACCCAACAGGTTTCCGAAAATACTAATTTGGTTTGCGCCAATGATGAAAAGGTATTCTAGAATACCCTACGCGCATCGAATTCGGTACTCTCGAAAACCAAAAGGTTTCCGAAACCTCGGGAACCAATAAGGTATTTTCGAAAACGATTTCCGTGATCGGAAACCCTTTCGGAAACCAAAAAAGGTTTTCGAAAGGGTTTCCGAACTGATTTTAGTTTCCTAGGAGACGGAAATTTTTTAGAGTGTGATGGAGCCGTGGCGAGCGTAAAGCTCATGCACGCGCGGGAAGACTCACATCATCCACATGCACTCATCCGATGTCATATGTCAGTGAGACTGGGAGCCCGATCGTGTGCCACGGACACCAAGACAGTTCCTGGCCAGGCTTTTAGGGACTACCCGGAAGTCCTTCTTATAAAGCAAAACCCTAAACTCAACGTACCTCACTCACCCTAACCATTCTCATCTCAACGAAAAGAAAAAGAAAAAAAAATTAACTCACCCGTTGATGTTGAATGATGGCGTCTTTAACAGGAAAAGAAAAACATGAATATAAAAGATCACAAGAGGACTTATCACCCTCTGTATGATCCAATAAAGAAAAAAATAAAAATAAAAAAAATAAAAACTGATACCTACATTTTTTTATTGTGTTGTATTGA